TGCTAAAATCCAGTCCTGCTTTTTTTTGGTCTTTTGAGACAGGGTCTTCCTGTAGCCCCAGCTGGCCTGGAACTCACTATGTAGACCAGGCTGGCCTTGAACTGAACAGAGATCCACCTGCCTCTACTTCCTAAGTGCTGGGACTAAAGGCGTGTGCTACCATGCCCGGCCCAGTCCTGCTTTTAAAACTATAACATGGGACTGGGGAGACAGCTCATGAGCCTCTCAAGCACCAGGGCCCAAGGTCAACCCAAGAACCCAGGTGAAGGGACTGGAGAGATTAAGCGGTTAAGAGCACTGGCTGATCTTGCAGAGGACTCAGGTTCAAATCCCAGTACCCACATGGTGGCTAAAAAGCCTGTAACTCTAGTTCCAAGGGCTCTGATGTCCTCTTCTGGCCCCTGGGAGCATTGCACGACATAGGTACATTACATACATGCAGGCATAACACAAATTAAATAAATAAATGAATAAATAAAAGTTTACTTATTTATAAATGACCAGGTGAAGAGCCAGGCACTGTGGCACACACTTGTGACCCCAGTGACAGCCAGACACGAGGCAAGGAAGGTGGTCCCGAGAAGCTCCTGTCCACCTGGCCTGGCCCCATGCTAAGGAGAGATGTTGCCTCAAAGTTAAAAGGTACCCAAGGAATGACACCCAAAGCTATCCTCTGAACTACACATACCATATTCCTCAAGACTAAGGTATCTTGGGTGCTCATTTTTCACCCAATCGGTGACGTGCAGGAAGTCGCCCAGACAGTCCTGTCAGCTCATGCAAGCAGCTTTTGGTTTTAGTAGCTGTGACAGGGCTGAGGGGACAAGGAGGAAGGACAACAGGACAAAAGAAGAGGCTGGTGAGAGGGCTCAATGAATAAAAGGTTCGAATTCAGCACCCACATGGTTAACAACTATCCATAACTCCAGTTCCAGGGAATCCGACGCCTCTTCTGACCTCCACAGGCATTGCATAACACAGGTGCACTTACTTACACACATGCAGGCAATACACTCATACACATTAAAAATGTTTTTAAATAAAAAAAAATTTAAAATACAAGGTGGGAGCAATTGGGGGAGACACCCAATGTCTATTGATATCTAGCCATCACATGCTTCAGCTGGCTCAGTGCCTAACAGCACTGGCTGCTCTTACAGAGGACCCACCCAGGTTTGGTTCCCAGCACCCACATGGTGGTTAACAACCATCTGTAACTCCAGTTCCAGGGTATCTGATGTCCTCTTCTGGCCTCTGAGGGCACCGCACACACTAGTGAAATTACATATGCATAAAATAAAGATAAATGAATTTTAAATTTTTAAAAATTTATTTAACATGAGTGTATTGCCTGCATATGTGTAAGTGCACCAGTGTCATGCAGTGCCTGCAGAGTCCAGAAGAGGGCATTGGATCCTCCGGAACTGGAGTTACAGACGATTGTAAGCCGTCATTAGGTGCTGGGATTTGAACCTGGGTCTTCTGCAAGAGCAGCCAGTGCTCTTAAGTGTTGAGCCATCACTTCAGCCCCTCAAAAAAAAATTTTTTTTTTGGTCTTTTTGAAACAGGGTCTCCCTGTAGCCTCAGCTGTCCTGGAACTCACTCTGTAGACCAGGCTGGCCTTGAACTCAGAGAGATCCTCCTGCCTCTGCCTCCCGAGTGCTATGATTAAAGGCATGAGTCACCACGCCTGGCCAAAAACTTTTTTTTTAAGAAATAAAATTAAAAAAAAATGTTCAGGAACTCTGTAACCTCTTTCCTGACAAAATCCCAAACCTCCTGTCTCATCCTGCTGAGATGGAGTCTTTCACCCTGGCCATCAGGGAGCTCATTTCCTTAACATGACTCAACCCTGTTGGGGCTGTTTAAATTCTCTTAAATTACATAGCTCTGGGCTATGTAAGCTCTGTTCTGGGCCACAGTGCTACCCTCATGTTTATCCAGAAGGCTCCACCTGGACCAGGTGCCCAGGCCCGTACTCTAGCCAAAACTAACTCCTGGTTACAATCGATTCCTTCTTCAGCTACATTCTGCTCTTACTTTACCCAGCCTAATTTCCCATGTATTTCTAACAGTGGGCGAGCTGTGGAGACAACTCTATCCCCTCCTCTTGGGGATACTCAGGCATCTCTGGGTTTAAGCAGTGTAGAGCCATGGGTCATTAGGCGATGACCTGTGCTC